GATTACAAAGCCTTTGTTCATATATCTTATTTTTATTTATGAATTTTCGCCTGTAGTCTGCTTTTCTCACCGGAGCTCAAAGTGGCCGTCCTTCTGCTTAGGCATAAGCTCCCCTAGGCTGCTTTGGAATTAAGACAGAAACAGCAGAGGATGAGAAAGCTCTATTTATGGTGCAGTTTGATTTCGAAGTCTTGTGTACACAGTCTTGGGAAGGGGAGGGGCTGCTTGGTGTAGTGGTTAAGTGCGCGGACTCTAATCTGGGAGAACCGGGTTTGATTCCCCACTCCTCCACTTACACCTGACTGGATGACCTTGGGCAAGCCGTAGTTCTGGCACAGCTGTCCTTGAAAAGGAGCCGTTTCTGTCAAGAGCTCTCTCAGCCTCACCAACCTCACAGGGGGTCTGTGGTGGGGAGGGGAAGGAGTTTGTAAGCCGCTCTGGGACACCTTTGGGTAGTGAAGGGCGGGCTATAAATCCAATCTCTTCTCTTCTCTCTGTGGCTCCGTGGTAGACCATCTGCTTGGCACGCAGAAGGTCCCAGGTTCAATCCCCAGTGCCTCCAGTTATAAAAGAATCAGGCAGTAGGTGATGTGACCCTGGAGAGCCACTGCCAGTCTGAGTAGGCAAGTCTGCTCTTGTGCATCGGTGGTCTGATTCGGTGTAAGGCAGCCCGATGTGAGAGGGTAGAGCATTTACTTGGTATGCAGAAAGTCCCAGGTTCAAGCCTGGGCAGCTACAGTTAAAAGGCTCAGGTAGTACGTGATGGGGAAGACCTAAGAGCCCAGAGGGCCCCTGCCAGTCTGCGCAGACAATAGTGACCTTGATGGACTGATGGTCTGATTCAGTATAAGGCGGACTCGTGGCACCAGATTGCAAACACAGCACTTTTAGAGAAGGTGCAGATTTCCAGGAGCAAAACGAGGGTCCCTCAAGGCGTTTGGCGAGCCAGATGGATTGCCGACGTTTTTCTCTTGGCCGCTCTTTGTTTTCCCGCTGTGGCCAGCCTGATGATCGCCTTGATTTGTGGAGCCCTGTCAGTCTCAAGCCTCTTCTGACATCATTACAGGCTTTGGAGACAGAAATCGAGGCTGCGTTTTGGCAGCCGCCGCTGTCTTCCCCCTCCTTTCCCGCAGATCTGTCGGCTGCCCGAAACCACAGCCTCCCGCCCCATTTATTTTATCCGCTCCTTGCTGTATTTTGTTTCAACAACAGTCGGCGGGACTCTGCCTGTCGGCAGCAGTGCACAAAGGAGCCTGTGCCCACTGCACGAGGGAAGCCTAGAAATGCCTCTTCTTCCGGTCTGCATCCGAGGATACCCTCTGCTGCCCTACTTGGGGAGTAAAAGGAAAGCAGACTCAGGTCCCTCCATGACTGCAGGGAAATCCCCTACGTGGCGGCCATGGGTGCCGTGCCATGGTGCCCTCCGACACCATTCCTGGTGCCTGCCAAGTGTTTTTAGAGAGTGGGCCAGGGGCCAGGTGCAATGCTCCCTCTAAGCTGTGGAGTCTTGTGAGCAAAAATTCTCCTTTGTGAACCACTGGCATTAAAGTTGTGAGCCAGCCACTTGGCTACTGCATAAATCAGTTAGCTCTGGAGCCATCCTTCCTGAGCGAAGAGAAAAATGGGCGAGCCGGAGGCTAAAAAACTGTGAGCTCGCTCACACTAACTCAGCTTAGAGGGAACACTGGCCAGTTGGGGCTTTTGCCCAGCAGGGCTTGTGATTAGTCAGTGGAGATCTGATTGCCCAGGCAGGTCAATGTTCTTTCAGTAACCGCTGCCACCACGGTTTTGGTTTGGTTCTCTGTACCCCCTCTTTCTCGGATGCCGTGAGTGGTTGTCTCT